CTGGAGAACTAGGTGCCTTACCGAATTCATTCATTACCATTCGTCCTGCTTCATGCAGTTCTAAAATTCAAATTCTTCTCAGTTACCCTTGATACTAGGATGGAAAGCAGGGGAATATAAGTCATATATTTAATAGGGTATACTGGGAAGCAGCCAGTGTTTTATCCCTTAGCTGTAAACACAGACAAAGCTATATGTGCGAGTTAGGGCAAGATTATCAGTGCATGTGTGTACTTTTCGTAACTCGAAGAGGAAGTTGCATCAGGAATGGATGTGCCTTGTTGTTTCGATTATTGTTGTTTTATGTGCAAATTAATTTCTCCCATTTTTCCTCCTCTGCAGCGGTAGCTAAGTGATCACTGTCACAGACTTTTCAGATGTCAAAAATCGAAACTCCTTCACATTCCACTACCTCTGTATGGTACTGATACTCGAAAGCGGCTCGAATAGCGCGCTGCATACAACATTTCACTGGTTCCCTCTTCCTGAGGCTTGGAATCCGCTGTTGGCTGCTCTGACTCCGTGGTAGATGAAAGGTGCCAATGTGCCATCGGAACGAGTAGTTTAGCGACTGGAATTTTTTGTTTTTCAGATCAACCCATTATTTATGGGAATAGCATGAATTACAGCTGTCCCAATTCTAAATACTGAAGGCACTCAGGCCCTCTCACCTCATTTCATGAGGCAATTTTTGGGCGAAGGAACGATAGGCAGCTTGGCTTACGCAAATGACTGTTAATGCTAGAAAAGTTGTCACTCTCCATTTCCACTTGTCTGAGGTAGTGTAAAGTGTACTGAACAGAGGTTTACTATCCTCAACCCTTCTTTTCTTATCGTGCATGTTTGTATGAATAATGTTGCTTTGCTCATGTTTTTTTCTTCGTTTTTGAGTTTCTTTCACTCCGAACTGCCAGAACTGTAAATGTGGGATGTGTTCTGATAAAACGATTTTGAAAGTTACTGCCAATCAAAGCATTGTGGCAATTAGCTTGGACCAGATAGGCTCAGTTTGGCTTTCATAATACTTTTATTATTTAACAGTACAAGCGATTCTCTAAACAGCACCTTCCGATTTACGAGAATACCTCACGGAACTTAACAGTTTGTCCGGTTGGATGTTCCATTGACCACTTCACGGTTAGCTCTTCTTCCTGGTTTGCATCAAGTTGTAATGTCCATTCTAGATTGTGATTAGCATCCAAACGAACACCAACTGTGGGTTCTCCAGTGCTCGAACTCTGATCACCAGCACTCTTCTTGTCCAGTTCCGGAGAAAGTAAACTTATCTAAAAAGTATCAATGCTGATTATCAGTACAAAGGCCACTCGAGGCGTTCAGTGTTAGTGGTGTGTGTTGCTGGGATTCTGCTACTGTCACCTGGATATTTCAGCGTTCTAGCTTCTCAAATTCCCAAGTTATGAACTCACCGAGAAAAAATTTGGCAGGCCTGTACGCGGCTACCGCGCTTAACTAGGGGATGGGTTTCAGTGCATCAACACCTACTTGGATGGGGAACATCACGCTGGGAGCAGATGCGGTTGGTACGCATCGTTTATTCCGTGTGAACCACCTCTTCTGAGACCCTCTTACTGGTCATGCACTCTCGCGTACTAACTATTCGTAGCGCCTCCAGCTGTCGTCAACATGAACAACAATGTCTTGCCCGCCGCACTTTGCTTTCTCTCATGGTCATAGCGATATCCCGCAAGCCAACATCTGACAAAATCTTACTGCTTATACGGTGCAAAAACAAATACTAGAAGAATCTTTTGTTCCATTATTTTTTGCTTATGGCAGCAACCACGTTTCGTATTCGTATGTCGCTGCTCTCGGCGCAGTATTTTAAAAGAGGTCCTTGAAAATGCAATGAAATTGAGTGAACCTTGATTTTCTCGTCCGTAGTTTTCGGTATATGCTCTCTTACGGTAATCAGAATACTTGTAGGTTTCAGATTTTTGAGAACGATCTTCTGCTCGTGTATTGTTGATACTGCTCGCGCCAGCAAAGTGCCAAAAGACTCCTATAAAATCCAGCAAACGACTCATCTGTATCCGACTAATCTGCATATTTGGCTCATTTTTCATCAGTGGAATCTAATTTTAGATACTTTTATTCAGAAATGTTTCAGGTAGTCAAGCCTAAGCAGTTCTCGAACTAACTGGTCAACTTACACATTACTTTATGTCTTAACTACGGGTTAAGTATGACCTATAGTGAAATCTACCAAGTATTTGGTACCACACAAACGCCTGAATAACCTCTATCCTGAAGAACTGCATTTAAGAACTTAGCACCTCGGTTATTTCATTCAGGCAAAATTTTTAGCCACTTCTTCTCTGACATTACACTCATTAAGCATTACACACTAAGCGTTTTTTTCCCTTGTGATTCTTTAGACGAAACATAAGCTCAAAAGAGAAAAGTCTAGCTCGGCTACATCCTGTGTAGATGAAAATTTAAGTAATAATATAGTTCCTCGACGCCAATTTTTTGACAAGTCTCAAAATACAACGCTCCTTGATCAACTATTAAGCCCGCACAATTCTTTTTATCTTTCCAGGTAAAAAAACAATAAACTAAAATTGTTTGACTGTTAAAAGATGATCAATACGAAAACAAGAGTTATTTCCATGAGAATCTAAAGGCGCATTTAGAGAATCCAAAAGCGCATCTAATAAAGGACCATGAATAAGCCGCTAGCTTGGAATACCCATATCGATTTCCGAGAAATTTTGATGTTCTTGGATAAACAACTGGATAAAAGCAAATCGAACCTGTTCGGTGTATTTATGTACTGGTTTATATTCAGCTTTCACAGCGGGATCAACACCTAACGAACACTGGAAACGTTCGCCAGGAAAAACAGCTTTCAGGTGATTCTGAAAGGAAGCTTATATATGAATAGAAAGGAAAAAGTTTAGATATGAAAAAAATGCTTGTTGTAATGGCACACGCAAAAATATTTGACCTTCGAAATGAAACTATTGTCGAAAAATATAGCTGCTTCGCCAGCAAGAAACGGCTTTTTGGATTCGTTTGCGCAGGAAGCATTCAAGTAAACATTGGTGCTTTTCGATGGTATCAACTCATAAAACATTTTTGGGCTCATATCCATGATTTCGATCGTAACTTTGTGGTCAGTTGAATCGGACCGGATGGTTGCTGGACGCGCTACTACGAATATGTTCGCCATGCTAGTATCGTAAACATCCGCCGCCTGCAAGTATTGATGAAGTCTGTAATTTAATGATGATGTGTATATATATAAAACAATAAAACATTTCGTTTCCTTTTTTCTTGAGATGTTCTCTTCAACCTTAAAAAAATATATAAAACATTAAAATAAATCAGCAAGGATATTTCGGTTCAACAAGTCGCATACCACTCAGCACCACAGTTGAACCTCGTCAGTGCTACGGTTGCAGTGTTGATTAATTGAGAGTGCTTAAAAAATATAGATTCTTAAAATATGTTTTTAAAAGCGAAATGTGAGAAACGAGGACTGCCAATTCTTGATCTAAGAGTATTAACTCAGAAATGAACCTGATTAGAGTGAAAATGAAAAGCAGTACCGCGTGTGCCAACCGTGGAGGAGTTGGAGGAGCTGCGAACTCGCCATCAAGTTCCTCCGCCGCAAACCCCATTGATTCCTCACTTTCCCGACTTTCCAGACTAAACTGGGTTTAAATCACATTAAATTGCAGTTATGGTGTATACGAAATAAAAAATTACATTAAAAAAAATAACATGAACAGGAATGTATCGATCTATTATTTCGTACACATTTCTAATCAGCACCATAAATGAACCTTATCAATGGAATAGTTATAGTGTTGAGAAGTAGTTGTTTTCCAAATTATTACAAGCAACAGATCCTATCAATTTTGTTGCTGGCTTTTCGTAGGTTTTCGCAACATTGACTTACAGATACTTGAGAAAGTTCAACGGTTTATGTTCTGACTCAATTAAGTTTGTGACATTTTTGCACTTGCCTACAGATACTTGAGAAAGTTCAGCGGTTTATGTTCTGACTCAATTAAGTTTGTGACATTTTTGCACTTGCCTCATTGGTTGTATACTTCCAAAAAGTGCGCACTGAGCTGAGCGATGGGGACGCTGGATTCGTCGTGGAGGTGGTTTGTAGAATTCAGCATTTAGTGTGCCCAATGTTGGCATTGTACCAGCAAGTGATGGCCGTGCTGTGCTCAGTACCAGCGATGTATCCAGCCAATCTTCACCAGTGCATTGTGAAATTTGCCCGAAATATGATAGCTGAAAAGTGGTATTGCTATATTTCGACAAAACCTGCTACTATCAATTGAGTATCCAGATTCTTACAAGACGATGCCCAATTCTTATTTTTTACTTGCCAATTGCTGGACAAAACGAACATCAAAATCGTCAGCAAGCTGACGATTTGGCGATGCAGTTGGAGCACATGGAAAAATTACAACTTGCGTAGTTGAAGATCACTCTATGAGCGAAAGCCGATCAAAATACTGACGAAAGTAATATAAAATTTCATTTTCAGAAAAAATTTACAAGTGCCAGCCAGTTTTTAATATTTTGTCAAACTCTCGATTTTTTCTTCTGGCTAGAAATTTGATGTACGTCCTGTCAAAAATTAACACGTCTTCTATCAGGCGTGTTATGTTTAGTCCAATTTTTTGCTATTTTCCCGAGCCTCCTTGCTTCCCTCCTTCCCATCCTCTCCTCCTGTCCCATAACTCTGAAAAACGTCACCGATTGCCTGCTTTACAATTAGTAACGCACGCAGGAAAAACTGGCTTCCGCTGTTTTTTAAGTCGCTAAATACCAAATGGACTTGTGCGAAATGGAGATTTACGTGGGCGGAGGAGATCAGTCCAACTGAAGGACGTCAAACTGCGCATAGAAGATAGAAAGTTAGTTCCTTGGCGTGAAATAGCTAAGCGACGTTAAATTTTAACGATTAAAAAACCACCAAGGTACCGCTCTATTTTAAGAAAGCCAGCATACATTTTTATGAGGACTACGTAAAACCCACGTTGCTTACTGAAATTAGAACTGTAAAATACATAATATAGCCTGTCCCAATGTCGCCCTAAAAAACAGTTAGTTCAAGCTTTTTCAAAACGATGACGGTCTCACGTAGTAGAAAGCCTGCGTACCAATTGGGGACACACAGTTCAAAATCATAGGCTTTGAAGCCATCAACGAAGATTTGTGGGAGGACAAGTACCGGCAAACGCGTTAATTCTGATGCCGGCAAACGCGTTAATTCCAGCTCTCAAGGAGACCACTGCTGTGGTTTGGATTTTCGCTTCATTAAAACGAGAGAATCATTTCATGAGCTCTATCGCTGTAAAAAAAGCGATCTGCGGCGGTTATTTTTGCGATCAGTGTACTAGTCCAAGATTACCTTCAAAGTATTTGTTGCACTCTGCACACGTATCTCATAAGTTGGGTGCCAGGAAGCACAGGTCACCTGATAACTTATATCCAGCTCCACTTCACCACCTTTCTCGCTCTCAAGAAATACGCAAACGTTTCTGTAATTCAACTTGAAACACGTATGTTAGCGGATTTCAAGCTAACTTTTTTGCGTCAGAATTTCTAAATTAGGTTCCGTAAAAGTGTATTTCTTTGAAGAGGTGCCTAACGGAACGAATGAACGAATCGTAGAGAGACTGTCTCACTGGCGAATTGGCCATTGTCCCTTAACGTTTTACATGACAGCATGTTAACTGTCACTGCGCCAAGTCTGCCACTAGCCCCACGTAAGAAGAAATATAAGTGAAGCAAAATTGCCATTATGGAAGTTCAAGATTAAATTATAAACCTTAAAATTAAAGAAGAAATTAAGGCCCGACTTTATTTCTTCTCATTCACACAAAAAAGGAAAAAACTTTGTGTTTTTCGCGCATAGCTGCTTGACCTTTACTGTATTACCAACCGCTAATCAGGCTGATACTGGCCCGCACCACAAAAGCTTCCGGACAAAACTTGGCACAGTGTCTTCTCGACATGCTTGGAGAAGCCAGATTCAGAAACTCTCTAATCCTGCCTGGATAGGAATCTTTTTAGGAAAATACTTAAAATTATAAATAATAAAAACAATATTCGCCTGATATGCCTGCTGTTGTGTTGCGTGTGGCTTATCTGTTCATGAATTTTCGTAATTTCCTCATCAATTTGACGCATACCATTATCCAGTTGAATCGTCTTTTCGTATACCTCACTCTGTCCTTGCTCGTGATAACTGATTAATTTTGATATGCTTTCAAGAGTATCATCAATTGCCATAAAACAGTGTGCGCGTTCGCCATCTTTACATTTTGCCAGTGCTTCACCAGCCTATACATTTTACTGTTACTCTACTTTGATCAACAATTACGCAAAAAGTGCACATACAAACACTTTTCGCGCCAGATGAAAGGTGTGCAGAATGCCATTGAAACCACGCGAGAAAGTAGATCCCATGAGTTTTTACTTTCTCGCGTGAGTTTGAGCTCACTAATACCTACTTGGATGGGGAACATCCCCTTAAAATTCCGATCCTCTACCAAACAACCAATGGACATAGTTCAATAATGAGTGGCACCGGAAAGATGATAAACCATCATTACCGTAGCCTCCGAAAAAAAAGGCACGTATTCAAACAAGCTTGAGTACTAATTAAGATTAACTCTTTTTGTATAAAAGTGTCCCTGTAACGCTCTTAACACGGAATATTTGTACCGATCCTCCGTGCGCCTTGGTGTAATCGTAAAATGCAGTCTCTTTTAATGGACTAACAGTCGTACTCAAATTCAGAGCTTATTCAGCAAACTTCTCGCCTAGTTATTTGGCGTGAAACCCTTCGATATTTTCTGAGTTGTAGCTATTTGATAAATCCAGCCTTTTATTCAATGCTCGCTCGAAAATCTGAATTAAAAATATTACTTCAAAAAATGAAAACGTACCTTTCCAATCATATCATCTAATATTGTAGTGCTTTTTTGGATGATTTTTT